CATGTATATCTGATAACCTTGCTCTTTTAGCACAAACAACCGTTCAACCAACAACCGTTCTGCCAACAACTGCAATGCAAACGAACGCTCCCACCACAGCCACAATTACCAATTCACCATCACCAGCAGCACAAACAACAAACCAACCAACAGCTGCACAAACAAACACACCAACAACAGCTATGCTATCAAACGCATCTGTAACAGCTATGCCATCGAACGCCTCAACAATAGCTATGCCATCGAACGCTACGACAACACTGATGTCAAACTTAACAACAATTGTACCATGTATGTGTTTTACTCTAAAAAAATATTCTTAAACTTCCAAAGAGTTTTAGTTTGCAAAAACAGATTTTAATGTAGGGTTTTTGATATTTAAACTGTCCTCCTAAAAAAATTTCAGCATACTAAGAGTACTAGTTTACAAAAACAGATTTTCCTGTAGGGTTGATGATATTTAAACTGTTAGGATTTTCTTCAGTATAATTAGCGTCTGTATAAGTAATAAGTAGTACCAAGGGCTGCAGAAGTATTACCTCTCAATGCATTTCAACAACCAGATTTAAAACCAAATCAAATCTAAGATTTCATAGATGACAACGGATATGTTCCAATTGTCGTAACTACAATCCGTTTCCTTTTCCCCGAATGTGAACTACCGAATTAGACTTATCATTGGGTTTTGTACTAACATGAACAACCAGACGAGTACCGCATGTGGAGCAGGATCTACTTACCCTTCCAGAGCACCTGAGATCATCCCCTGTCTTTGGTGGGATTCGTGTTGCTCAATCTTTGGTTTTCTATGTTGTGTTTTGTGTACTGTTGATGAATTTTATTTTCACACCATGCATTCAAAGCTGATTATTTTGTAGCTACTACCCAGTCTTGTTCTGACGATGAAGATGCCAATTTTTCTTGCGTTATGTACGAGATGATGTACAGTCTGTGTACTGCTGCTACAGGAACCTTACATGCCATTGCACACAAAAGATGTCGAGCGTATTGTAACATATGTACTAGTAAGAACGTTTTTTTTTAATATTTAGTTCACTTTCAAACCAATATATAGTTATTTGATTTTTAAAATGATTTACTGGTGTCGATCTTGCCATTATCACATAATACCGTAATTTTTCCGTGTCAGTTTTGTTTTTATATAATTGAGTAAAACATTTCGAATTTGATTACCTGGTATATGTTCTTATTTGGTGATTGTTATGAGATGTCGGAAATCCCCGTCTTATATTTCGCAAACTGTAAGACTTACAAGACATTTTTGTTTTTGCTGTTAACGAAAAGTAATTTGTTGTAAACGTCAATGAGGCAGTATCCTAGCAACACGAAAAATAAACATGGTGAAAAAAAAACATTTTGACAGTAATATCGAGATAGTAAAAAGGATTTTTTTTTCATGTTTACACAATTATTCAACATTTTTGTTTCATTCAAAGTTTGCAATTTTTCAATTGTGAATTTTAATGCATTTCCATGTGCCTCAATTTCAAAGGCGGCAGCAAAAATACATATCTCCAGGTTGAAATGATAATCTGAGGCTTGCGTTTCCTGACATGGAATATTTTTTTTTAAAATAGTTGTTGTTTACAATAAAGCTGTATAAACAAGTGTTCTTAACCGTAAAGATGAAGTCATCTTTTTGAACGTTTTACTAACACCTTCATTATTGGCCATTATGTAATGTCTTTTGAAATTGTGATATTTTATTTACTTTGGCGTTGTCCATTTTCTAAAACTTATTAACTGTGCTATGATATGTGTGTTAACACATTTGATTTGAAATATATATTAAATATTTTATGGAAATTATACAATATATAAATTAATTTTACAAATGTATACGTAACATCATTTTTGTTTTCAATTACAGGTGGTAGCACATCTGGAACAGTCAGCGGTAAGGCTAATTTTAGTAAAATTAACTAAACATTTTAAAGGTAAAGAATTAAGTTGCCATGCATAAAGTCCGACAGTGTATGTCCTAAAGGGATGGAGATCAAAGAAAAGCCTGAAAGTATTGACACAAAGAAAAACAACCTATGATAAAACAATAAAGAAATATACATTTCATTTAAATATAAGGACAGGTTCATTTACGGTAAATAAAGGGACTAAATGAACATCCACTAGAATGTACCTGTGAGTATAAAGGACACTTTTAATAGTTATATATTTATAGATAAAGCCTATTACAACGAGATAACAGATATGGCAACCTCCTTCAAAAAGCTATCGAATCCAGCATTATTTTAGTAAGAAAAAAATCAGGGGCCTATAGTTCAGTGTTTGTCGTTGGTTTTCTGTCATTCATGTTTTACCTTAATTGTCCTCACAATTTTAGCGCAGATTTGACCCAATATTTATGCTACAACAAAACCCGTATCAAAATCTTTTATCAAAATAAAATGTGGGATAGGCTTTATATCATCGAGAGTGTCAAATATGAAGTCTGAAGTTTGAATGCCCCTTTGGTATCTTTCGGCTCTTTTTCGATATCATTGTTTGATCTTGTATGTATGTTTTGTTATTGCGATGGGCAAGATTAAACAGAAAAGGGATTTAGAATTCAAAATACTAATGTTACTCGGCATTAAGTCAGGAACCTCGTTGAAATGGTTGTCTTTTATCATATTTTAATGTTTTATTTTGTTATTTTTAAAATTTAACGTTGATAGCAAATATTTGCTAATCCTTTTACATTATTCACAACTTTTATTAGACTCGGAGGCATTTAGAGCTTAACATAGGATATCTGTCCCTTGTATATACCCGTATGATTAGCATCTTTTGTTTGTGTAGTTGGATTTTTTTCACTTAAGTTGATCCATACTCCATTTTCGAATGTTGAATGTTACCAATTACAGAGCGCTCGATACCTGTATCTCAAATAATCTATATCTGGTACGCTCGGAAAAAAGTTTTAATAATCAAATATGTTACACATTTAGCCTACCAAGGAACTATAAACAACTGTCATACAAGTGGGAGGTTTGGTTAGCTATAAAACCAGTTATACCAACAATTTTCATCGCAAAATGTCTGTACAAAGTCAGTTATATGATAGTTGTATTCCATTCGTTCCGTACTGTTTGTTAATGTTAAAAAACCATCCAAAACCCTCTATGGTTAGATTTGCAGGATAGAGTATTAAGATATGATAAAACACTTGTAACCTTAACTATTAAATCCTACAGGTTATATTTTAAAACTTTTTGATTACCGAAACTAGTTAAATTAGTTTATTGTATATACTTTATTTAACAGTTAGCCTTCCAACACAGCTGACCTGTATAGATCATGACGTAAGATGTGTTCAGTATCAAGCCAATATCTGTAGTTCTACTGTATCCCAGACTTATGTCATCTCCACATGTGCAAAGACATGCAACAAATGTGCTGAATATTTTGGTAAGTTTATTTTTAGAATTATACAGAGAATTGAAGGACTCTTTCTAGTTGAATTTACATTTTTGCTTTTAAAACATGAAAGAATAAAAAAATACCAAGCTCATAAAACTTGTTTATCGTACATGTGATATCGAATTCACCAAAACAGAAACCAAACGGGAAAATAAAAATATAAATTAATTACCTTTCACATGCAATAACTGAATTAAATATTTGACTCAGAAAGATCATACACGTATTATCATAAAACATGATTATTCATGAATATGCAAATTAGTTATACCATGATTTTATATCAAGTGGAGTTAGTGAAGGGGAAACAAAATTGACAAGAGATAGAAACTGAAAATGAAACAAGATGTCCATAAACAAGCGGCTTTTTTATATTTGAATCCACGCACGAACAATTGAACAAACAAAACGTCGTGAGAGAACACGTAACAACAGGTAACAACAGGTAACACGAGTCGTATAAAGCATCAAAATTACGAAAAGAAAAATTCCAAGACTTTTATCAATTCAATAAATCAATGAAATTCGTATTGTTGAAATACATCCAGGAATAAAGAAAATGCATATGGATGATAAATACTTCTGTATATAGATGTATTGCTCTGATTCGTGATCATTGGAATTTGTTCCCAGGGGCTGATCCAGCTTTTTTGAAAGGGGGCGTTATTTCATAAAATTGAAGAAATATTGTTGGACAATTATATGCTGACAAATGTTTCCCAATCAAAGGGGGCGTACGCCTTCTACGCTTCTTCCTGAATTCGCCACTGGTCATTTAGAACTTATTTCTGAAATATCCCTATGAATATGAACATAATATTTTTTTTTTATTTCACAGCATCGTTGCAGAGTAAGTAGTTAGTTCATGTTTCTTCACTTTGATGCCACAAAAAAAACCCTTCAAATTATGTTTAACTTAAAATCATTGATAAGGAGTCGAATAACTATTGTGCCTTCTTGTATTTTTTTTTATCAATTTAAGATAATAACAATGTTTCCCCTTTAATCCAAAAGGCCTTGGGTTGCAAGAAATATTTTATAAATTAAAGAAGCGATGAGTATACGTCTATGTAACTGCAACAAAACACATTTTGATTTATGGTCATTTATCGTTATGATGTTCTCTGTCTTTTCCAATTCTGGTTTGTGATTTCACATTGATATTTTCTCACTGTTTTGTATCTCTACTGATACAAACACGTACATGACCCATGATATATATTTTTGCATTCTCTCTTTTATTCGTACTGATGTGTTGGCTTACAAACTATTATCTGAAATTGCTCATGATAAGCAAAAAACATGTCTCATTACATAATATCATAAACTGGGAAATGAGCAAGGAATTGAGACTACGAAAAATACAACAAACTTCGTTTTTTTATTTAAACAAATGAAAGTTTATTGTTCAGGTTAAATATTTTGAAAACAAAGCAAAGATTTAAAATTGTTATTTTATTTCGTTGATTTATTAAACATATACTTTATCGTTATTGTTAACGAATGATATGATTTGCTTGCGCAAAACAAGTAACATTTGTATGTTTAACATATTGTGTTTGTATTTTACTATTTTATAGCCCCAACAACAACAGCTCGACCAGCTGCTCAACCAGTAACAACAGCAGCAGGTTAGTTTTGTAACAGTTCCTCAAGTTAGTACACATATATTTTCCTTCACGTTTTGTTGAAGGGCATTTGAAAGTCACCTTTAAAATTGCATTTTTTATAACATTGAAGAATATTGTTATGAAACTCCTCGAAGAATAGGGAAATCCTAGAAATTTTATTTTTGACCTGCAGTAAAAATAATATAAGAAATAACATGTCTTATTAACCATGACATCATAAACAATACTTGTTTTGTATCACGGAACATTCCTTTGAATCTAGGTGACTTTGTTATAATTTTTAAACATCTTGTATGAAAAATTTCTTTTGCTTGATTCTACCATACTTATTCGACCATTTACATCCAGATGGCTTTTACTATTATGTACACATGGTTTACAAAACAAAACGATTTGGTGAAAATTTTGATTATCTAATAAATCATAATTGGTTTTGTTTATTGTTCAGACCGTACTGATTATAAGAAATATGTGAATGACTATTGCCTATTCGGACGATACGACCTTATCTTCTTTGAAACACATTTGAAAATGACATGTGTAAAAAAAAAGGCAAAACGTGCTTTGCAGGCAGATTTGACCTAAATTATGAAAATTGCATTCCATAAACTTCTAATCCATTTAAACCTTAATCAGACGACCTACAAAAATAGAAAATAAAATGGAATACAGATATTGTTTTCTTTTACATCTATAGCTTATCAGGCTCAAAGGACCAGTGTAATAATAATTAATTCCTTAAAATCTGTTTAAGATACATGTAGGTGAAAGCCTTTGCTATCATACAAGAAACTTTAAACTTCTAATAAAGGTTATCAATCAAACTATTAATTTTACCTTTATTTCATGACAGCTCCCCAAACACGTTCTATAACATGTAATACATGTGGAGATTTTGACCAGTTGATTCCCTGCTACAGTAGAGACGTTTACGGAAACAGTTCTACCTCAGTATGTCCTTCTGGATATGACTATTGTATGACAGATGTTTATCAAGATACCAATGGCAATACAGATGTATTTAAAAGGTACTATCTTTCTTTTGAATCAACTCTTATGTTTGTTGTTTGGCTGTTGTAGCGCTATTAAACTTATTAAAAGCTATCTTTATAATAAATACCAAATTATCTCTTCTTAGCATTTTTGGTATTCGAGTTGAAATAAAGGTATGTTAAATTTAGATACAAAAGTGATCTCATGCATTAGATCACTTTTGTATTGGTTCTTTCACAGTAAACTCACAGAAAACGGCATGTTTTATAAGAAATGAAATGAATAAAAGAACAAGAACAAAATTACATTTCAACCTCAACAATATAAAAAAATAAGCTGTAAAATAGTATGTGAAGTATTTTATCACTAAGTATAAATATGTTGTGAATTCAAAGAGACAAACATTTTAATACAACTGCAAATAACACTGCCGAAAGCCTGATTTAGGAGAGTCATATGATCGTCGTGGTACAATGTAAATATTTCGTTTTTGTTATCATTTTTATAGAGGTTTTTTTTGAAAATTATACAAACTGGTTAGAAATAAGTTTATAAATATAAGGTTTTGAAAACCAAAGATAAAAATAAATACACTGGAGCATTTGTAAGAACGATCTAAGCTTTTAATTGTAAAACATCTGTTCACTTGTTATACATATTTTATTATCATAAAATATTATTTTGTATAACATTTTATAATACTAAAATATGTATAACAAGTAAACAGATGTTTTACAATTAAAAGCTTAGATCATTCTTACTAATGCTTCAGTGTATTTATTTTTATCTTTGGTTTTCAAAACCTTATATTTATAAACTTATTTTTAACCAGTTTGTATAATTTTCAAATCTTCAAATTTTACTATCTTGGGTGGATAAATATCGTAATCAACAGGTTATATGGTAGAATCCATATTTACATTACATGGTGAAGATTTTTTTCTATTATATTATTGCTAAAAAGAAATTAAAACAACATACCTGAAGTGAATTGTATACGTGTAATTGTTCTTTTTAGGTGTGTAACAAAACAAGTATGCGACTCAAAATGGACAAATGATTCTGCCAATTATAACTATTGTTCGCAATACGGGGTTGTTAACAATCCAAATGCACATGAATGCCACTTTTGTTGCACAGGAGATCTCTGTAATACCAACATGAAGCCTTTATCTTCTTCGTTAGTAAAATAACCTTGAAGAAAAAGATATATATGAACATTATATCTCAAATAAATTATTTTTCATACATTACCTTTGATCTGTTATTTCTTATAGTTTAAACGACTGTCTATTTCTAAATTAAGAATATATTTTTTGTAATTGAAAGCTTGTTCTGAAGATTGTCATTTAGAAGCAAGGCATAAAGAAAAAAAGACAGAAATTCAAATTATCCGTTCATCAATTAAGAAAGTAATACGATACAAAGTTCCAAACTTTCTCTAGCAATATTTACCTTAGATGATTGTTCTTTTTTGGTCCTTGTTGGTCATATAGGTCATAACGTTTTCAAGCACTTATGTTTCATTGGCTTTCATTTTTTTGGATTTGAGCGTTACTGATAAAGGTAAATCCAGAAAAGTCCTTTGAACGGAACTTATATATCGAGTGTTATTTTCAAAGTCCAGAAAACTTAAGGGTGTGAATAAAAACAATACGCAATGATATATATATATATATATATTAAAAATACATTTTACAGTTTAGCATAACGTATGTAATGACAGTACCCTGGGATAATTCTGTTCTATGAATACATCCTAGCGCTTTGTCGGGTACATGCTGCATTATCTTTATTTCTTCTCTCTGCTGTGCTGCGCTGTGCTGTGCTTTGTTTTTTTTTTTTCTTCTTTTCTATCAAAATAAGAAGATATGGTATGACTGCAATAAGACAACTCTCCATTTCAGATAAAATGACGTAGAAGGTTGGCAACTATAGGTCTTCAACAATGAGCAAAACCCATACCGCATATTTTTTGTTATTATAAAATCCACATGCATCCAGTCATCCCATATTGTCTGATAGAACATATACTGTTTTATTTTTTCTGCAATTAAAGCTTGGGATGGTCATCTTAAGATGCATTATTTTAAAAGAATAAAAATAAAAATTATTCAAGCATATACTGATATATTAATTTTTCGAACCCTTCATCAATAGATATGCCATCATTCGGGGTTCAATCATCAATTTTATGTTATAGTCTTAAACTTGATCTAGTAAGCATGTCTCCTACACTTCTATGTTTTCCATAGGCAACTATTGCTTCAACTTTGAACACTTCTGCACATTCGTCGTCAAACTGCAATAAAGGCCAATATTTCATGATACATTTTTTTTTTACTTTTCCCTATATATGAATTATATTTAATTATAAAAATTAAAGGAATATTTTCTTTTTTTCTTCAAATGTATATTTGTTTTTGTGAGGTTGTTTTCAACATTAAATTCTTTAGGAAGAAATGATAATTCAAGCTTTGTTAAATTGATATAATTTTCCATAGTATGGCACGTAGAAACAGGTTTATATCATGTGTTGCTACGAGATGGCTGAAGATCAGTTTTTTCTTTGCTGAACATATTTCGACATCGTAGTTTTCTTGCAATTTCATCATATTTTTTAAGTATAGACAATTTTACTTGATGACTCTGGTATAGATTTCAAGCCTTTCGCCAACGGAATATATTTCTGATTTGATAGTTGGCATTTTGATAGATTAACTACATCCTTTTTTGCATGTGCAGCTTTTTCTGCATATTATTTTCATTCCGTCCTTTTTTATTGTAGAATCGGAATTTTTGCTTTTTAGTATTTCTTTTAAGACGACGTGTCATTATTGAGTTCACATTTAGTGATGCTCTTATCTACGTGCCTTTATTGAACTTACATTTAATGGCTGAAGAATATTAAGGTTTACACATGACATAAACCTTGAAAAGAGATCCGTCAACATTTACGTGGGTTGATAGGGGATATAAGATTGCAATTATTCGCTTTGGTTATGTTTTTATGAGTTACATTATATTATTGCGTGGATTTATTTTCAAAATATATCTGGCCATAAAGTATTTTCAACTTGATTGCAATTGTGGTTAACGTTGCAAGGGACGCTTCAGCTGTCGTGGGACCCAGTATCGCTATGTTTGTAGTTGATATGTATTTAATTCCCTCAGTTTTTTCACTCGGTTTGATTGCATCGATAACCTACTGGTGCCTCTTATTTTTTCAGTCCAATTTTTTTATGGTGCTAATTGATTACCAATCTCATTCCATCATTCTTTCATATATTGCATGTGTTAATTTTAAATTTACCGTGTATGTTTTGAAGATCAAATACTTCTTGCCAAAATGGATATTACAGTATTGTATAAGGGCTAAGAAATCTGGGTAGTTATTCCAGATAGATAAATTTAGTGCGTAAAATGTTTTTGACTAGGTATTGATAGGAATAAAGAATTTGATAGGGTAAGTGTTTCATTACTGTTATTTTTTCCATTTGTGTTTTCCAAATTTCTTAAGTATTTTCGATTTCTTGGGATGATAGTTTAAATTTTCAATTTCATTAGATATACGGAGAAATTTATCCCAAGAAGTGTAAATATGCTGGGACCTCTCTAATCACCACTTATCACATAGAATTTTGGCTAAACGTTTTCGTCCCACTCCAAACAATATTTGTCTTGTCTAAATGTATATTTAATATGGTCGTATAAACCTGCAAATTTGTCCAGAGTACAGATAGATGCATCCGAAGACTCATCAAGTATAAGAGAGAATTATCGTGTGCAAACTGTGAAATGAGATACTCTTAGTCATATTTAGTGATTCCTTTAATTCGGTCATGATTATTTCGTATGAGTATATCAAGAATTTCTGCACATACTGAAAATATATACAGCATCTTATAATCTAAATAAACCTCTAAAAGATGGAAATTTTATGTTACTGCAGATTAAATTGTAGTATAACAAGTCATGGTCCGATGTTTGATAGTTGGTCCGAAATTGAATAAGTCCAATCAGCTTTTAATAAATATCCAAGAAAAAGAGTCGAACGCCTTTTCAAATCAATAAAAAAGATAAATCAGGCATTTTCTTCTGAATACAATAACATATCATATATTAATCTTGTATTCTCACCAATATATCGTTAATATATACATCTCGTTTCATTACTATTATAAGAAGTGACACGATAGACTTAATCGCTCTACAATACAGCTAGACCTGAGTTTCGTGTGTTTAAAAGACTCATAGGTCGCCAGGTATTCATATATTGTCTTGATTTACCCCCTTTGGTATACAAGTGATTATTTCCCTTTTTAGAGATACTGACATTTCACCCATATCATACCCATAGTTGATTGACCGTAGAACAAATTTACCAAAATTTGTGGAAAAATTCACTGATATATTCATCTGTTCCCGGACTTTTTTTTATGTTCCATTCTTTTAATTGCTGCTGTAAATTCAGAATAAGATATTTTCCCCATCAAGATATCTCGAATCTCATTTTTTAGTTTTGGAACTCCTCAATTTAGAATTACCTTATTTAAATCAATATTTTCGATTGTTTCTTCTTTTAAGATATCACTTTTCGGCATCTGTTAAAACATGTGCTTGATTATTTATACAAAGACCTTCATTATTGATTGTTTTTTTAACAAATTATTTGTTTCTAAATTGAGGAAATATTTTGAGGATCTTTCTCCTTCCTGTACCTGTTGCATTTTTGAACGTACATAAATATTTACATCGCATTTTTCTTCGTCCTTAACATTCATAGTTCAGATTGTGTTGGTGATGAAATTGCCAAGAGTCTCTTTGAATTTGATGCGACTGTTATAAAAGTGAGAGTTAGCTAGCTTTAAAACCAGGTTTAATCCACCATTTTCTACTTAAGAAAATGTCTGTACCAAGTCAGGAATATGACAGATGTTAGTCATTTGTTTGATGTGTTTGAGCTTTTGATTTTGCCATTTGATTAGGGACTTTCCTTTTTGAATTTTCCTCGGAGTTCGGTATTTTTGTGATTTTACTTTTTTTTTTGTTTAGTATATTTTCTGCGTAGAACTCTCGGAAGGGATCAATTAGAATTTTTTTCTTTCGCAGATTATTAACTTTTTAAATAGTTGCAAGTACATTAATCTAGTGCTTGATTTAGGTCAATTCAATTTGATAGTTGCAAGTTTATAATGCTTGATTTTGTAGGGTAGTCATTATTTAGTCCATATAAATTAACTACTGCTATTTTTCCCCTGCATTCTTAATATTCACGCCCAAGACATTTTCAATTTTATTTTTCGTTATTTTCTTTATTCATAATTATTTTTATTTGATAGTAAAATGGCGACTCCTCTTTTTAATACAATGTAAGTGGCAAAAGAATTAAAAACCGATTCTTCTCCACACTGGTTCTAACAAATGATTTATCTTTTTCAGTAATGTGCTTGTCTTACAAAATGTAAATTTGACAGATTTTGATTTTAAGTATTTGAGCGCATCTCTGTTCTCCTTAGTATTTAAACCTTGAGAGTTATATGAGAAAATTTTATTGTATCCTCAGTCATTTGCAAATTCCTCTGGTTATACTTTGACTCATATGAAAGTCTACGAAAGCAAAAAGCTATATAGTATTGTACATGTAAAAAACTTAACAAAGTAACAATTTACCGTCATGCATGAAGAAAACCTTTGTAAAACACTGAAAAACATAAAAATAATAAATAAAAACTTAGCACTTTTTTCAAAAGAACATATTTAGATGATATAAGGTTAATAAACTAAAAAATGCGAAAACAATTGAGTATTACAATTGAGTATTACATCCACTTGAAGTATTCCGTTGGAACTCTTCAGGAAGACCTGAGAGCACGCCCTCTTTTTTATGGTGGGGTTCGTGTAGCTAATCCTAAGTTTTATGTGAAGTTCTTTTTTTTTTTTTTTTTAGGGGGGGGCATGGTGTTGTCGGTTTAAAGAGGAAACTTTTTTCACAGTGACTTCGTTCGATTAGTTGCCATTCTGTATATAAAGACAGTGCAAATTCCATAGGAACTCCTTTTACAGCTAAATCTATTGCCTTTTTTCTTTGAAATTTCGTAAAAAAATATAACATGAAATGGACAGTTCACATGCAATTCTATTTTTCGAAAAGGTCAACATTTATATGCCTCGAACTTCTATGAGTTTAAACTTATACTACAATTCTGTACT